CGGCAAGAGATGGATGAGTCGTGAGTTGAATCTGTGTCTGCATTGGCCTGCCTTTGCTGATTGGCTGCAATTACAGCTTCATTGGACTCAGTGGCGGTGCGATATTTCACGAGATGATGTTACGACAAGGGGTAAAGGTACGTCCTTTCTACTACTCAATATCACAGAGGATAATGCTGACCTCTGGAACTATGTACAGCATGTCTTTGGATATCCAGGAGGAGCGATCCTGCCTGTGTTTGACGCCATCTACAACTCCAAAAACTTCGAATTCATCCTACCCCGTCACGAGCAAGGAGCAGGTCATATGGCAGAAGGCTATGCTCGAGCTTCAGGGAAACCTGGGGTTGTGCTAGTCACATCTGGTCCGGGAGCAACCAATGTGATTACTCCCTTACAGGACGCTTTGTCAGACGGTACGCCTTTGGTCGTTTTCTGCGGTCAGGTTCCCACAACTGCTATCGGGTCAGATGCTTTTCAAGAGGCGGATGTTGTGGGTATATCGAGGGCATGCACCAAATGGAACGTCATGGTCAAAACGGTCGCCGAGCTTCCAAAGAGAATCAACGAAGCATTTGAGATAGCTACCAGTGGACGACCAGGACCTGTGCTGGTAGACTTACCGAAGGATGTTCAGGCTGCTATTTTGCGGAAGCCTATTCCTATGGCCAGTACACTGCCGTCGCATCCTAGTGCCGCTAGCTTGGTCGCAAGGGATTTGAGTCAGAAGCAGCTCGAGGGGGTCATTCAGCGTGTTGCAAGGTTAATCAATATTGCTAAGAAGCCCGTCATATATGCCGGTCAAGGCATGATTGCCCTGCCAGAAGGACCGAAATTACTCAAAGAGTTGGCAGACAAAGCTTGCATACCAGTCACTACTACAGTACAAGGCCTCGGAGGTTTCGACGAGCTGGATGAAAAGTCGCTACACATGCTCGGCATGCACGGATCACCTTATGCCAATATGGCTATACAAGATGCGGATCTTGTAATCGCTCTGGGAGCCAGATTTGATGACCGCGTAACAGGTGATGCATCCTACGTTACAAAGTTTTATCGTCGCTGACTTTTGCAGGTAATATCGCTAAATTCGCCCCTCAAGCCAAAGCTGCTGCTGCTGAAAAGCGCGGTGGAATTGTTCATTTTGAGATCATGCCTAAAAATATTAACAAGGTCGTCCAAGCGACCGAAGCTGTAGAAGGTGATGTCGCCGCGAACCTGGCCCTTCTTCTTCCATTCGTCAAGGAAAAGGCTTCCCGTCCTGAATGGTTCAGTCAGATCAATGACTGGAAGAAGCGCCTACCTTTCGCTTATGAAAAGGAGACTTCAGACGGCCTTATTAAACCACAAAGCGTTATTGAGAAACTCAGCAACCTCACTCATGACATGAAAGAACGGACTATAATTACAACCGGCGTGGGACAGCACCAAATGTGGACTGCCCAGCATTTTCGATGGCGCCATCCCAGAACCATGATCACCTCTGGCGGCCTTGGAACAATGGGATTTGGCCTGCCTGCTGCCATCGGTGCAAAAGTAGCTCGTCCGGATGCTCTTGTCATAGATATCGATGGGGACGCATCCTTCGGCATGACTCTTACGGAACTCAGCACGGCCGCTCAATTCCAAATTGGCGTCAAGATCATCATCCTTAACAACGAAGAGCAAGGCATGGTCACTCAATGGCAGTCTATCTTTTACGAGGATCGGTTCGCGCATACTCACCAGAAGAATCCAGACTTCGTCAAATTGGGCGACGCGATGGGCGTGCAAGCGCAGCGTTGCATTGCACCAAACGATGTTGAGGCGAAGCTCAAGTGGTTGATCGAGAGTGATGGCCCTGCTTTGCTGGAAATTGTGACGGATAAGAAGGTGCCGGTTCTACCCATGGTGGAAGCGGGCTCCGCTCTTCATGAAATGCGAGTATATGACGAAGGTACGTCTACCCTTGATTTCGCACATCCTGCCAAGCTACCCTTGAGACCTACATCCTAACCTACGCCGCAGCGAAAGAGAAGACCAGGAGAGCCAAGCTGAAAGTCAAGATGGAGGCAGCTGGTCGGGCGAACCGATGAGATTGTGACTGACCTTTTTCCTTTTGTCGATATTTGCTGCAAATACCCGTATCAGGCGTCCGGAGCTTTCAAGTGGTGGCAATGTGATCCGCAAAATGATTTACAGGAAGGGATTTTGGAAAAGCTCCTGTTAGGCCGAATTTTGGAGGAGTATTTGGTGGCGACGAGCACGTACAAGGGATATTGGTCCTTCGAGCAGTGCTTTAGCTCCGAAGCAGGCTGTATATATTTTCTTCGAGATGAAATCAGGATTTCCAAACTGCAGGGTTCCATTGCCCGACCTCACCGCGAAGACTACGACGGGGGCCGCCTGGTCGATTCTAGCGCGACCGAGGCACTTCATGCTTTACTCTTCAAAGTCTGATATACCTACTAACTACTTGAATTCACTCTGCTCTCGCACCTCCTCGCACGGATATCCAGAAGCCTCGACAGGGGCGATGCATGTGCACTCAGCTCACGCTATAAAGCGGTTCAAATCCTTCCGGAACACAACCAGGAGGCGGGGGCGTGGAGAATATCAGAGCTGCATTTCGAGGAGGCTGATGCAAAGATGGATGATTGAACCGTGGAGAGGGTTTCGCGAAGAGCTGGTTCAGACGCGTTTATCCAGTCAACAGGAGATTAGAAGGTTGACCCTCATCGTTCATGATCTTTGTGAGGGTAGGATGGGAAAGGTATGGAGAGTGTCAATGTGATTGTTTGAAACGACGGATATAAGAGACTACTCGCCAATAACATGTTTTTATGTGTAAGAAGTAGACGTAGGGGGAGTCGAAGAACATGGCGTAGGCTACGTATGAATTGCCAGAATCCGTGCACTACCGCAGCGGCTTTGACGAACTGGAGAACCTACATCTAACTTGATGATATAAATAAAGTACGCGATAGAGAGCCAGAACCCCGTAATTTGCTCCTTTCGGCGGTCGGGAAGTGAGGGTGTTTTCGGTGACAACTGCGTGGAAGAGGATCCTGCGTATGAGACTGTTTCTGCGTACAAGATATGGTTCCAAGCAACCCCTAGACAGATTGTTATCGTGTGAGAAATTGTCCTTTTATACATACCGATCAATGCCAGGATGCGGTATGGATCTTTGTCTCATCAAGTTAGCTTGGCGTTAACCCAATACTTGATCTCCACCGGACCTTGAGCCACTCGGCCCCTCGTCGCCTCCTACCCGCCAGAATCGGTTCTACGCAGCTTGTAAATCCACTAGTGGGCTACCTGCTGAGTTATATTGGGGAGGGTAATTGACAGATCCTTCGTCATCTTCATCCATTCTCTACATCTCTCCTCCTGATTTCCTCCTCCAACTCATCCAAAGTCAACGGACAGCTTATCTCAGTCCATTTTTCGTTCTCACCCTCAATCCATCCCTCGCAGCTTCCCAAACCCACAACCAAAAAGCCCAACGTCTCCCTGTCAACATCGAAGACCTCCCACCACTCCATACTCGGTAGCTTGACTCCCACCTCCCTCGCCGCAAGGTATATCGCCGACACAGCCAGATGGGGGGGTTGATGTGTCAGGTACAGCAGCTGCGGAGAGAACAAGGCCGTGTTGAGATGTGCAAGCGTGCGGGCTGCCAGGGCACTCGACTTGGTTGTGGGGCTGGGAGGAAGCACACCGAGGGTTTGGAGATAGGTGAGGGCGAGGTGGTGGGGCAGTGTGACCTGCGTGATAAATGAGATTGACCGCAGGAGGATGGACTCCGTTTGAAGGAGGGTAGCCCTTGCGGAATGGTAGGATCCTTCCGAAAGGTAGTAGGATTCAGCATCGGGCTTTTCTTTTCCTGTGATGCCCTCTGACGGCTGTCGTAGAGGAGACGTGGGGGAGAGAAGATAGGCGTAGACGTTCAATACCGAGCGAGTCGACTGAGGCAAGAATGAAATCTTGGCCGTCATGTATAGTGATGCTGCAGAAACATCCTACATCTCGATCAGCACAAGCTTCGATGGGCAGATTAGACTACATGTTGGTGCCGCACCTTCACCGCATTGATCCGGAAGCTTCCTCCCTCCGACCCAAGATAGAATCTGTAAAAGATGACAATGGCTTGCGCGATGATCTCCTGCGGCAGCCGGAGCAATATGCCGGCAGCTTGGGTGAGTTTCGCGCCGGCGAAGCGAAGAGAACCCTCGAGATCCGCAGGTACGCCATCAAGTTGGGAGCTGGAGGTCGAGAGCTGGTCGACCGTAGCCAACGGGTTTGACAGAGACGACAGCTGTTCTGGTTCTGGTGCCATAGTAAAGTATGGCTTCGGGCAAGCTGAGGGTCCGAAGGATATGCCAAAGATAACGGAGCTACAAGTAGTCCCTAGCGTCGAACATCACCACCCCCAGCAAAATCACTGCTCTACAGCTACTACATACAATTGACTACCCCTGTTACATATAATATTATGAGACCAGAACCCTAGGCCAAGGTCTACTTGCGGTTCTTCAAGGTTCTAGTATTTTTCATGGTTTGGCGGTAAGGCTAACAGACGTCTACTGATTTCTCGACATCTCTTCGTCGACCGAGCCTTCGAGCAGCACGATGGCCACCTATCCCACAATTTTGACTGTCGAGGTAGGGATTCCCACCGACTGAACTATCGCATGTGCAGGACTCTGACACGACTTGTACGGCCCTGTCCAACGGCAACTGCCATATCAGGACACAATCGCAACAATGTTTACTAATCGTGGATACTGAACCACAAATCAAACGCTACAAAGCTTCGCAACTCTTTGACTGGTAGGCTATATCCACGTTGAAACCAACCATTGGACGCTGCATGCTCATGCTCATGCATTGTCATGTTTTATTGATAGTGGGGTCGAGTCAGAAGATGCTAAATTCTTCATCGAGAGTTGAGAATACTTGGCTTTTCCCAGATATTATTTCACCGGCTGCACTTTTCAGAATATTGACCCCCCGTCATGGCTGATCTCTTTAGAGAAGCCCCTTTTGGGCAGCTCGTTCGCATTCCTTCTGGCAACAAGTTCTTCCGTTACCCTGAAGAGAGAGAAGACTTCCATTGCCCTCATTGCTATCATGCGGATGCTTCTCTACCCTCGGAGAAGATTGTAGAGCAGAGTTCCAACAGCGAAGTTAACGGTGTAGGGTCGTTCAAGGCAACTAGAACTTCGACACTTGATACGAAGCTTGACTCGGAAAGATCGGCCACCAGCTCAGATCCTGACGTGGAAGACGACCAAGAACAAGAGCCGGCTAGAGCACTGGGGCTGCAGAGAACTCAAAAGTTGCCCTATACAAACGAGAGACTAGAGATCGGGAAGAAGCTTGAAGTAGAGAGGACCAAGTTTAGACCCATTAGGTTTGGGGTTAACGAGTCTGTTGCATCGCTTGGCCTCGCCCTTTATGTACTCGGGTGTAAGTCAGAATGCAGACTACTGAGGTTCGGTCTCTAATAGAAGCACAGATGGAACGGGTCCTCTGGTTTGGGCTCCTATGAGTGAGGGGTAATCTCCACAAGTTTAGTAGTGCCTGTAGGAAGGGACCGAAGATGAAAGGCTGACTGATCTACGTAGGTGAAACTCCAGCTTTCGGCAGAAACTTACCTTACATTCTCACGTTCGCAATCTTTGTGATACTGTGTGTGCCTACAGCACTCGTCAACAACATCGGAGGATTGCTATTTCTCAGGGTTTTGGCAAGGTTTCTTTGGTAGCCCCTGTCTCGCTAATGGTGGTGCCACGATGCAAGACATGGTAGGCTTCTCTCGATGTTTCGTACACTAAGCTGATATGTTCCCAGTACTCTCTGCTCTATCTTCCCTTCTTTGTGTCTGTTTGGGTATCTGCTATCCTCGCAGCACCTGCTTTGGGGCCCATACTGTCAGGCTTCGCAGTGGTTGTGGAGAATTGGCGATGGTCACTCTGGGAGATTTTGTGGTTGGCAGGCCCGGTCTTTGTCTTGTGGTTCTTCTGTCTTCCAGAAACATCAGCCAGCAACATCCTCCTTCGCCAGTCGATGCGTCTTCGCAAACTTAGTCAGAACCCAAACATCAGTTCGCAAAGCCAAACCGATCGTCGAGGCCTGACGGCTAGTGCTATAGCTTTGGATGCCCTGATAAAAGCATTCGAGATCATGTTCAAGGATCCAGCCGTACTGTTCACCAACGTCTACACCGCTCTCATTTACGGCATCTACTATTCGTTCTTCGAAGTGTTTCCCTTAGTCTACGGCCCGCTCTACGGCTTCAACATTGGAGAGACCGGTGTGGTCATTACTTGCATTATTGTGGCTTGCGTCCTCGCAATGGGCATATACTTCTACTACCTCCAATACATGCTCATACCGGATACCTCCAAGAATGGTCTCCGTGCTCAGGAATCTCGACTGCGACTAGCATTGATCTTTGTCTGGGGTCCCTTGATTGGACCGTTCATCTTGGTAAACTCTTTCTTGCGGACGCCAAGATTGGAAGTAGCTCACCAGAGATTACTATTAGGCTGGTCCGCGAACAAAAATGTCCACTGGATCGTCAGCGTCATTGGCATCACAATCTACGCCCTTACAGTCTACATCATCTCTCAGTGCCTCTTCGTCTACATCCCGAATGGGTTCTACGATCTTCCGACTTCAAGACCTCGAAGCGATCGGAACCCACATGGCGCTCCAGCTCTATTCCTGTGGAGATGATGCAAAACTCCATTGGAGTGTGATCCGATCGCTCACGTACGCTTTACCCGTCGATGTTCGGAGTTGCTTTTCCTCGCTGGTGGATTCGGCTTGACCAGTCTTTCCGTCTTGACGGGCAAGGGCAGACATGATATCCCAGACTGCGTCGGCAAAGAGACAACGAGAGCTCAATCTGTGGCATTTTGCTTAGCTCGTAGCCGATATCCCACCTCGATTGGGTCTGATTCTTGTTGTACGCAGATGTGGTGACAGCGTTCTCGGTCGGGGATGGACTGTTGTCTTGCCTTTTGGTGCAGCTAATGCTTTGAGTGAGGATCTACATCACTGGCATGCGGGCGTAGATATTATTCTACTTTTTAGACCAGTAGAGGGTCAAACATCTAATCAATTCTTTTATCTATCTGGAACATGATATCTACTATAGTTTTTAAATGTCAAGTTACTTTAAAATTCCTCTATCACGTTTTTAGAGAGAAGAATACTGTTGTGAGCAACGGAAAGAATAGAAGTGCAAGATATCAGTGATACTTTAAAAACCGACATTCGATTTTCCATCTCTTCACATGGGTCAAGGGTCACATATATCCTCCTGTAAATATTCAAACCCCTCAAATGAGACAGACACGCAATCGACTTCTCCGCTTTCGCGAACAACCGATCCCACTCCTCGGCCCCACGCTCCTCCAAGTTCCGAATCTCGAGCGTAGTCAGGTCGGCCGATCTACGGAAACCGTATCAGCCATCGACTACCGACGGGACGACGACCAGAAACTGCTAGAACAGACAGCGCAAAACAGACCTCGACGGGAGTTCCCGATACGGAGACAGCGAACCCGGCGCGGGCAAGCGGTATCCACCGATGACGATCCATGCTCCAGGCTTCGAGTACCGGGGTCAGGGCCCCCAGAACCCGCAACGGCGTATTCGCCCGACCGGTCGTGGAAGATCCGGCGGAAGTGGTACACGTCTGCGGCGCGGACTGGTTGCTCGGTGCAGGAATCATGCGCCATGATGTTCACGCGGGACGCCAGCTCTCGAGGGATTTGACGGGGACCGTGAGCGATGGCCTCGGGTCGATCTTGCACGATATACGATAGGCTGGTGGAAAGGCTGGGCGATTGGGACGGCGATTTGACCGTGCGACCACCAACGTCAACAACGATTCTTTTGGCGAGTAAATAGAGAGGTTCACAGTGTGCTCTGGCGCCTCAAACGCTGGCCACTGCGCCATTGCGTCCACCGTCTGCGAGTAAGATGGGCAGGTTCCACTTCATCTGTGAGGCGGACCAGTTTACCCGTGTCGCTGCTGGCCACAATCTTCAATCATCATTCCGCCCCGTTCTCGCAACAAGTCGGTTTTTGTAATGGTTTTCGATGCCGTAGTATGAGCGACAACACCCTTTCGCGGCTCACCAAAGATACGCTGGGTCATTGCGTGACGCAAAAGACCGATCCGTATCAGCTCTTGCAACGCTTCCCGCTCCTCCAATATCCATCTCGGGCGTGAACTGCCGTCCGGATGAGCTGTCTTAAACCCTACCAATGCTTCTGGACCTCCGGCCGACAACTCATGTTAGACACGACCCAAGAGACGACTCCTTATGTTCTTCGCGTGCGGTTTCGGATGAAACCGGCAAAAAAAAGTGGGTAGTGCGATCAATTGGGACGACCTGATACGATCGATTCGTGTGCGTCGATCCAATACGTGCCATTTGGTGTGTGCCCTTACGCTCAGGATCATGGCGATCTTCGAAAAGTGTCCTGCGGGGCTGAAAGCTCGTGTGAGGTAGGAGACGAGAGACTGAGTAGCTTGTCGTAGGACGACGAAGAAGAATGGGCCGCCGAGGCGTAGATCTCAGGATACGGGGTAAGCGTCTTGCGGGCAATTGAGATCCTCGAGGCATGAATCGGTTTCGCCTGCCTGTGGACATGGACGATGGGATCTGTTGAAGAAGGCGATTGAGCTTTAGCGGTAACCGTGAATCGGGAAGACCATCCTGCCAGAGTAGGATCGTGGATATGCAGCCTGAGAGTGTGCTTGTGATCCCTGATGGCTTATTGGCCGCTGACACTAGTGGCGTGCATGTCTCAGAAGGCTCCCCTGTCGACATGAATCCCCCGTTCGCCAGCTTCTTTCCTGTCACCACGGACCCGGACGACCTGAATTGAAACCTACTCCATCGCACTGCAGTATAGATCCTTTGAAATTGCTCAGAATGCTCGGAACACTACGCCTGACTTCCAAAACTCTCCTCCAGAGCGCATACATCAGGCCACCCGCGTTCGCGCAGCCAAGACATTTCGTCCACCCTCAACCTCTGTCCATCGGTCCCCGGTGCCAAAGAACACTCTTCGACCATCACAGAGACCCAGAACTTGTCGGCCAGATCCGCAAAATTGCCGCAGACTTTGCCTCGGACGAATCTAGATTGAAAGCGATCATTTCATTGTCCGACCTCGTCTTTTGCGATGCGTTGAAGAGCGGAGGAGAGAACGCCATCGCTATGCATCGAGAATGGCGCAAGAGCTTGCAGAGTATGAAAGAGCTGCTCGAGGCGGACGCCAAAAGCACAGAACCGAAGTGGACAAAGGACGAGCGAGAGGCGGCTCTCCAAGCTCTCACTATCACACGTCTCACATCGAGCATTGCTGTCAATATGATGGGTCTGTCTGTGGTTGGACTTGGGACCTTGGTTTGGATAACGTTCACCCAATAAACATATCGGCGGACGGTCACCGGAACGGCGTTCGCCGGTGACTAGAGTGTTGGTAGGATACGACCCCATCGAACAGGGACCGCAGGGTGTATCGACGTTGGATCGCGACGTACAACAGGGACTTTCCACTCAATGATACCACACACGGTCTTCTTGACCCGATCGATGTACCATACCATCCCTAAAATGAAGAAACCATGGCAGCTTTTGCGATGGCCCTTAGACTCGGTCCCTGCTCTTCTATCTCGAAACTTCAGCGACTGTCAGTAGACGATGCGGATCGGCTTCACTCATACCATCATTGCCTCAGTCGAGGGAGCTCCGATGGTGTGGGGCTGTCGTTATAGCCTGCCGTGTAGTTTCTGGAGGTATATCACAAAGGACAGACACGTCAAAATCCGGCCCCCAGTCATCCCAATCGTCTTGTAGTTCGAAACACTCAAATCGCCAGGACCAGGGTCCCAGAGATCTCAGGAGAAATCACTTCATCCATCCTATATAATTTCAACCGAACATCGTGCCAAAATGACCCATGGGCGTTTTAGGCCCCAAAGCCGCCATTCTACCTCATGATTTCCACTGACCTATTCATTTTAAGCACGACACATGAAAAAATAAAAGCTACCCTACCTATCCAACACATCCATAAACGCCGGCGCAAAAGCTCAAAAGAAGTACAAGTATCGAACCCCAGCTCACAACGACCCCTCACCTGTGCCCCTCCCAACGGCACCACCGAGCAGCTCGAAAGTCCTCGCGTCGAATTTCCAAATCCAGCACCGGTACTCAACCCCAGAGAGAGGACTCCTTTCCCGCCCCTTCAAAAAAAAAGGGTGTCCAGCAAGCGCTTGTCTCCCGCACGGTGGCCACCGGCCTGCAGAGTAGCGCTGCGGGAAGACATCACCATGCAGGTGCTGTGGCTGAGTATTCGAACCTCCACGGCAGCGATTGGGCCATGCGCCTCAAACGGCTTCCTTCGCGCAACGGGTTTACGGGGACTCCGCGCAAGATCCAGTAAAATCAGCACGACAAGCAGGGTGGTGGGGGAGACGGGGGGAACCTAAGAAGTAGCACGAGGCTGCGGAATGTTCAACAAGATTTAATCAGGAAATTCCCGCAGGACAATTTTCTTCTTCTTCTTCTTCGTGTACCGATCTTTCGTCTTTGGTTGCGAGTCTTGTGCAATGGCAGTCGAAAATCATAACGCGAACCCAATCATTGTTGAACCGACAGCCTCGCCCGATTCCGGTACACCGCCCCGTCTTCTCAACCCATCGCTCAACACAAGCTCCTCGTCCAACTCTTTCGAATCGTCTCGCCCACAGTCCCGAGGAAGCAGTGCTACCTCGGCATCCGAATCCTCGTCACCAGTTCCGTCGCACGAACCTTCCAACCTCAGACCACAGACCCCCTCGGATGTTGAGCCTCTGCCTCCGAGTGCCACATTAACACCAAATCAGTCACCTCGGAGCAGGAATCTTTCAGCGACACCACTTCCTAAAAGAGCAGAAGGTTCTTCTCACAGCAATGCAGCCTCATGGCTCTCTTCCTGCCGTCCAATGTCTTCCAGAAGACGTTGGCTTGAGCACGGCCTGGGTGTATTTACCCTAGTAGCTTCCCTGGTTGGCTTGCTATTCATAGGCGTGCGAACATACAAGCTAGCTGTCATATCAACCGAAAACTCGACACTAAGTGGTTGTACAGACTTGATCCAAGTAAGTGACTTCATCTTTTTGGACCGGTTCTTCTGACCAGCAGTCAGGCTGGGTTCACGACTCTTGAGAATTCGACTCTGCTGTGCAAACTGGCAATGAAGCATGGTCCGCTGAGCTCGCCGTATCACTTGGACAAACGAACATTGCGTTCTTCGCTCGCTCTAGCTTCGAGATGGATGAAGTGGACACCCAAGCGGCGTTGTGGCTTTCCTTACATCGTGTGCCAGTCCCTAGGAGCCAACACCGTCTATCGAAGTATATCCACGCCGGCAATCGTCATCATTACGACACTCGCATTGGGAGCGTTGATGTTAATATTGGCTTGGCGAAATGCAAGGTCGATGGAAGTCTTCACAAGCCCTGCACATTCTGACATCCAGATTACTAGCGGACGTAAAACCGTTACCGGCCAAGGGATCCTTGAGACACACAAACCAGAAGATCATCACGACCTCGGCCAACCCCGCAAGCGAAGCCGAGCTTCTCTAGACCAGGATAGTTTGGTGAAAGACACCGTCCCATTCCAATCGACCAACAGCTCCTCCGCCACGTTGACCAGCGGGCGTAGAGAATCACCAGTTTCTCTTAAAAATCGCTCATCGGGCGAGAATCACAAGGGCCTGATCGAGCTTCAAATCAACGGGAATACTAAAGCCTTCTTCAAGATGGAGACCGGCGAGCTCCTCCACCTTACTCACTGGAAACGCCAACATAGTAACGACTCGGACTCGTCCTCTGACAGCGACAATCCGAACAGCATTGAGAGAAAGGACGTGGGGGAGACAGTTTCTGGCGCGTCTGTACTAGCAAAGGGAAGAGCAGCCAAGGATAAGTGGACTGAAGAATTGCAGCTGGATTATGAAAAGTGGCATGATAAGCATTCGCACGCAAAGCCGCAGGCGGGAGATTGTTGTGCTGGGTTGGTGACAAACAAGCTCCCGACGGGGAAGCCGCAGATCATCTGAGGGTAAATCGTATATAGCTGCGACATAGACAACGTGTGACTTATGATTCATGCGTACGATTTGATTTATGTTAAGGAAAGAGCGTGCACTTCTCCTTGAGCCCTTTGATCGATCTTGACCCCGCAGAGCAGTACGCATCGCGCTGAAGCTGGCCAATTTCATGTGCTCCACATCGTATTTGCATCAGATCATTCACGAGGAAACAGTCGCCCCAGAGGCTTCTCACAGCTTCTTGGGCTATTCTCCGCGGCCGCAGGGCCACAGGTTTCAGATGTTCGCCCTGGACTCTTTGGAACAGTCCCCCCTCACCATTAATAAGGGCCATGAGGTTAAAGTGCAGTTCGACGTGGAGAAATGCGGTACAGTGCAATGCATGGATGGACCGACGACAGAACGCCTTCTTTCCAACGGTTCAGCTTCAGCCGAGAAAGAGGCGTCCAGGCAGATGATCGCGCGGTGGATCGAGGCATTGATATTCAACCCGGGATTTGCAAGATACTTGACGAACCCTGGTTGATGCTTCGGCAACGGTGATATCATCGAGACATGTTACGTTCTTCTCGCACACAACGTTTTGTTCCCAGTTGAGAAAGGGTGTCGCGGGGATGCTGGAATGGTACACGACCTCCCTTGGTTAAATGTGGTACCGTAAAGGTATGACCACGGTGCTGTGCGAAAGCATGAATAATATGTGCGATGATGGCGATGATGGCGATAATTGCGAGAAGCGGAGGTATGTAGAACCGGGAGAGAGGGGGCTTAAGGAAGGAGCGGCTGACTTGCATGAAGCCTTGTTGAGGAAAAAGGGAAAGTGGAAAAGATGCAAAGTGGCAGAAAGCAGAACCAATGACGGCACAGACCGCACCTCCCCACCAACTTCCCGAACCTCTGGAGCTTGATTGACTTTTCGGGTTTTGCGCAGATCAGTCTGACAGCTGGACCAGAGAGGCAGGAGGAAGCTCGACAGTACCGTAGTTAAGAGTTCACAGTACAGTTCACAGTCGCCGGGTTTCAGGGACCAGATGATTTCCAATGTACCTAGGTACCAGTGTAACAATATTCATGTCGTTTGTCCATTCAGTTTTTGACACCGTGAGGTTTTGAGTGGATCAGAATGAAAGCGAAAGAGTCTGCGGACATGTTGGGAAGTTGCGCGGGCTACGGAGTAAGGTAGATAGGAGACGGTGCCCGCATCCCAGGCTAATGAATGCTATTCTTGGATAGAGTACGGATCCTTTTATTCTTCAAACTTCTACACGAACCAAAAGATGCGCCGGATCACTACCGCAGTATGAGAAAGCGCGTGCTACTCAAAGACCATAGGTCAGAGTCATATTATTATTATAGGGACAACCGTTTCAAGATGCGCTCATCGAGCTTGACACTTCAAATTTGAGACTCGAATGAACGTAACATATGCTGATGATTGCGATGATGATGGAGCTTCATTTGTTTTGTTTCAAGGAATAGTGCCGCAACAAGGTCTTTGTTTGTCGGCCCGGGGCCTGGGCTTCTGTCAAGATGTGATTCCCAGCTCTGTCCATGACCGTGAATCTAAGTTGCGCACAGCATCACAAAAAAGTAAACAAGTCAACAAGACAGCTCCAGACTTGTATAGACGCGTAATGATGTTGACTAGAGCCTTGTTGCAATTGCTGTTGACTGATGTGTGAGAGAGTAAAGTAGGGTACTTCAGGTAGGGGAAAAGTTGGTGAAGTCATCTTTCTTGGCGCTAATTACCGGAGCTATCTCTTAGCGTGCTCCCGTCTCTTTGGCTCCCAACCGCGACTGCAATTTCAATTCCTCCCTTCCGCTGTCCTTCTCTTCTTCTGCTTCTTTATTTCTTCCACTTCCACCACTCACCCTTTCAACTTTGTCATCTTTTGCGACTGTTTTGGCTGTCTCTATAGTTTCTCATTTTTATCGAATGTCAGCAGCTGCTGCCTGCTGATTCCACAAGTTGGAGCAGCTCATCTCGAATGCATCATCCTTATCGGTCCAGGTGAAGGGGATAGATTGGTGGGTTTGTTGTTGGGTCCGAAGAGGAGAAAGAAGAGAAAGGAAAGGAGGAGGACAGAAGTCGAAATTGGTCGATAATCCAAGTCTATACCCGGAGAAGCGCTCGTCGGAGCTTGAAAGGGATCCAGTAGCAATCGATGACTTGTCGCCGACTAAGCAACCCACAACAATCACAGGACACCTGATTTGGTCTGACCAAAAACCAACCACACACCATCTCTCACTGGCAGTATCCTCAATCAACATTCGCTCAACTAGCAATCCTCGCGTCTAGTGTCACCTTGCCACTATCGCCAAGCATCAGCAGTGTTCTTGGATCCCCAACAAACGCCATCATGGCCACCCCAATCTGGAGGCGACTTGGTGCTCGACCCTTCATCCAATCGCTTGCAATCTTGCTAGCTTTCGCTGCACCGAGGCCCTCAGTCCAACTGTCCCAAGAACTATGCTCCTCGCAGAACACTGGCTCTGATTCGAATGCTGGTACGAACATGCTGCAAGCCCCACACCCATACCGCTTAACATGCTGACCTTGGCCTTTTCTAGTGTCGAATCACTTCAACTCCAACGGAGCATGTCAAACTGCCTGCTCAGGTTTCGCATTCGCGGTCGTACAAAACCAAAACTGCTGGTGTTCGAACTATTCTCCCGCCGATACAACGTCCACTGGCAATTGTAGTGAGGCGTGCCCAGGGTATCCATACGAGAACTGTGGAAGTGCGTCATCAGGCCTATTCGGATATGTTGCTCTAGGCAATGCACCATCCGGTACAATTGGTGCCTCAACCAGCACCTCCACGACGTCGACGCCGACCCCAACTCCCACGACAACTCCTACTCCTACTCCTACTCTAGCTCCAACTCCAACAACAAGTGATACTCTTCAGGCGGTTAGTACCCAACCCTTACCAGGCGTCCCTCTTGGCACCACCTCTTCCCCCGAGGCAACCTCTTCTTCTACCAGCAGTACCCCTTCAGTACTGTCAACCGTTTTGCCTACTACTGGACCTCCGACTGCAATTTCGTCGGCAGCCAACCCTGTAATCCCACATTTTCTAATTTCCTCCTCGCAAATTACTTCTTCACCGGATCCGAGTCCTGATCCTATGACTGTGCAGGAAACAGTCACAGAGTCACCATCGGTTTCTATTTCTTTTGTGTCTATAGTACGGACTCACCCTGCCCTCTTCTACCGCACATTAGACGTTTGCCATTTATATAGAGAATCATGGCTAACAAAAGCTTTCTAGACGCCATCTACGACGTCTACGAGCTCCACGTCTCAACCAATACCAGTATCACTTAATCTTACTCCCACTACCACTTCCACGCCGACGACTCTCACAACTTCCTCCACTCCTACGACCATCGCCAAGTCCAGTACGACTACATCAAGCAGCTCCTGGTCAGCTACACCTTTCACGTCTGTCACCACAGTGACTGGCCAAATAAAAACCTTGACAATCACACCCACTTCGCCTCCAGCAACAGCGACGACAATTATCACAGCAGCAAAAGAGAACAACGGTGGCTTCTTCTCCAGTTCAGGAAAGGTCGCCGGAACCTTTGTCGCTGTGTCAATCGTCCTCCTTCTCCTAATCGCAAGTGTCATCTGGTTCTTTCTTCGTCGCAGCCGAAGGCGGCGACCTGAGCCCGCCGCTATTTCTTCCGTCGCTGGTAGCAGCACTCCTCAACGTCGGCCAAGTCGACTCAGCCAAATGGGGTTGGTAGGCGCCGGAGGACCCCAACGTGAGAAGACCGGACCGACGATACCAGTCATACAAACGAGTGGCTGGGGCCCTAGTAATCGCGATGGCTCGGAGAAGAGCCCAGCAGACACATCATCAGCGGTCGAACGGCGAAGCAGCTACCCTCGAGTTGTCGATCAGAGACTGGAGCCCACGGCGTTATGGAATCCATTGCATGACAATGGAAGTCACGTTAGCGTTAGAAGCTTCAGGGATGACCAGGACTACTCCCGGCGCATGTTGCGCGTAAGTCCCCTCTCCCATCGAAGGTATCTTTCTACGATTGCTGAGTAATTTGCCCATCAGATTGCAAACCCCGATGATGGTTAGCAACCATTTGCATCCAATCGGGTTGACGTGGATTGATCCGACAACCGTTGCGCGCGTCCTCCATCGAAACTCTCACTCGTTCATTTTAGCGCACTACATCCTACCTCTATTAATTACAGTCACCGCTTTCTCGTCGGTATCCGTTGTGCATGCATGTACCTCTCGGAAGGTCATCAAATGGCGTTGGGTTGAAGAAGGCCGAGCATTACCGGTCCGGAGTGATATACCATCTTAATTCCCTGTACAATAGCTGATGACTGGCGCATGTGTGCTGTACGTTCTCGTACATTGTTTGGCTCTTGAGGCCATTTTCTACGCTTTACGGCCTGGAGACGGAAGGAAGGGCAGAGGGGGTGGATGGCATGAGCAAAAGGAAAAGGCTCCATGATTCGCCTTATGGTGATGCAGATACACAGAAGTGATGGATATAGAGAGCATTGTGCATTATTGACGGCAAACGTCTTCACTTCACAACATTCACATTTAGTTACCATTTTCAGCAGCCAATGCGAGTTAGTATGGAGGATGATGATGTTGTGGTGCTTATCGAGCGTGACAGATGCTGTGCTGCAGTGCTTTCAGGGTGAAGCGTGGGGAGACTGTCGGACTGGAAGAATTCAGAATTCCTAGTCGAATGCCGACATGCCGACGTCTTTTTGACGCCATTTATTTCCGCCCGAGTGTAGCATACATAATGTACCTACTGTGTCTGTAGTCTGTCGATAATATCTTATTGATAGGTACGTAAAACCAGCGCCATAAGTCAGGTTAATGTCTCATGATTTTAGATTCCCACCAGACTTGGTTTCGGGGTCCGTGCCTTTTGGCAGCCTGCAGGGAACTCATTGCCTCCTTCGGTTAGCGCCTCTGACCTTCCTCAACGACTTTACCTCCAAACGGCGAACACTTCCCTTTCATCGCAACCTTTCACTCTCAGACCTCTGGTACACACCTGATAGGGAACCTTGAGGTAACCGACTGATAGGTTCTGCGTCCGGGGAAGGCAAAGCCAACATTGGTGATTGAGGGGAGATATGGGCATGTAAGATATTCAGAGATACATATAATAGGCTATTTACTGCATTGCATTGGTTTTTCTTATTCTCAGTCTTTCAAAAAAAAGAAAATCTATCTGCCTGCACCTGCACCTGCATTGCTTCCCATTTATTAATTGAGATGGAACGCCATGACAGAGCTGCATGATCATGATCGGCCTCTGAACAGCTTAGAATCTGCGTTTACCGCGGAGCTCGGAGAAAAGGACGAAGGTGCTACGCTACCTTATTGTAGCAATTTAAGCAGGAAGGAGACGCTTGTTGCAATCCCAAGAGTCGTGCAGTACCACAAGAATCCTCCTCATACATATATATCATCGCTCGAACGATCAAGGCTTCCGAGCCTCAATTCCGCCAACGTTTGAGCCCACTGGCAGAGCCATACCTTGACTACTCGGGAATAGCCTGAAAATGACGATGGATACCTTGAACGAATCCGGCATCCGGAATGCCATCTTGTCCCTCGAGAGATACTTGCCATCCGGTCAATCTTTGATTTATCTCGCCATCGCTGTGCTCCTGAGCAATATCGCCTTGCTGGTCCTGACCAAAAGCCAAAGAGAGGCTCTCTATGCACGTGTATCCTCCTGGGCACCTGTTGTGGCTCGAGGCCGTCGCACCTCTTCTGCAAGGACACCGCCTCGGTCGTTGACTCCGGAAAAGAAGGTCCCAAACAATGCACCGCCCCCAGCGGAATACAAGGACATCTTTCCACCCTCGAGCCGCGAAGTGCTGCTCGAGGTTGCAGAATCATGGTCAACTTCGCAAAAGAAGAATATCGGGCCTCATGAAATTTCCCAAGAAGAATTTACGAAGAACGTCATCCCTTTTGAAGCTGACTACAGGGAATGTGGGCCGTCAACTTACACGCCGATGGAGATATCGGTGGCGGAGATCAAAGCCCTTGGTGACTTTCCCGACTACGCCAAGCTTAGCGGTGTGCCTCTTCCAAAAGCCTACAAGGAATTTGAGATTGAGAAAGCTCTACCTCGGCCATATCGACCCTTTAGATGGGCATATCATCAGACCATGGGTATGTTGACTCTTCGTTAAGCTGACTAACAGCTCACAAATGGTATAGCTCTCAACAAACTGGAACCCGACTGGTGGCTAGAGCTCGAAAGTAACTACGTCGCACGAGTTGCGGAGCGGAAAGAGCTTTTCGAAAAGCACGGCAAACTGGTGCTCAACTATCTCCCCGGCAGCGAATTGGCCTGCAAAGAGATCATGGAGAATGCCCTTCAATTCCTGTGCGCCCGCTATCCTCAGTACTTCTCCCTGTCACTGTCCACGTCGAAAGGCTATGTCTTCCACAATGCCATCTTGAACAAGGAGACCGTCATCGAGGACATGCATCCGTTGCATGTCCTGCTCGAGAACGTCCCGGAAGACTTCGCCGTCATGTTGCGCAACCCCGAGGATGGCATGTACTACTTCCGCGCCGGTCTCCTCTGTTCCTCGCTCGGCTGGAACGTCGACACCAAGCTCGGTATGCAGCTCAAGGAGATCCACAACCCAATCCCCGACTACAAAGCCAAGATGGAGTTCTCAATGGACCGGTACGTCCCCTCTTTGACATCATCCCCGACCCGTTGTCCGACTGACCGTGCGACCACGCCAGCTACTTCTCCCACCTCCCCCCCAACCGCCCCATCCAACGCGGCTCCTGGGGTCTCGAGGTCGACACCCCCCTCTTCATGCCGCCCGGCGACCCCCACGAAACCTTCCGCACCCGCCAAGTGCCCGACCTCCCCGTCTCCCGCGTCCACCTGCGCGTCGACTGGCAAACCCTCCGCCGCCTCCCCCTCTCCGGCGCCATCGTCTTCAACTTCAAGGCGCTCTTCACCCCGCTCGACGACTTCCGGTCCGAAGCGTACGTGCCGGCGCTGCTCGCCAAGGTCCTCCGGGACGGGAAGAAGGCGCTCATGGAGTACAAGAGCACGTGGCACGTGGAGCACGTCGTGCTGCCGACGTTGGAAGCGTGGGCGCGGGAGCAGGAGGCGGATGGGCTGACGGAGAGGGGCTGGGAGGTGCGGACGCTGGAGGAGGCGCCGTGGTTTCCGGGCTGGGAGGAGAAGTGGCATCGGCGGCAGGGGTTTTGAGGAGGGTCGCTTGCGGGGGTTCGAGGGTGGAAGAGGTGTTTCCGGGGGGAGGGTGAGTGGGTCATGATGGGTTGAGCGATGATGATGATGATGATTGTCGATATCGGACAGCGAAGTTATTGCATCCAATATGGGCCGGCTACCGGATTTGAGTTTTCGTATTCATGTAGCAAGGGTCAGACGATGTATATCCGTAGGAAAAGAGAAACACAAGTCTCGCAGCTATAATATCCTACTTCAACTTTCCCGTTCTGCTCGCCTAGGTTGCCATCATAAGCGGCAGCGTCACCGTCTCCTTTTTGCTTTTTCGCCCACGTCTTCCGCCCAAAACTCGCTTCGAGCTTACTTCTTACGACAGAGAGGTATTTTTCCGGGTCCGGTGCCTTGAAGGCGACGATAAAATCCGGGGAGGAAGCCAGACCCGGTTGCTCAAACCTACTACCTACCTAGTCACTACGCCTGAGCCCGAAGCTCGCTCCCCACCCTCTCCAGAGCCTCTTTGACCATGGCAATCACATCCCCCATTCCCGTCTGCTCCGCCATTCTCAACGCCGTCGCCCCTCCTCTCCCCTCGACCCTCGCATCAGCCCCGTGTGCCAACAACCACCGCACCTTCTGCACTTGCCCTTGCCTGATCGCATAGAACAACGGCGGTCCCACGGCCTGGAACCCTCTCGCCTCATCACCGGCGTTTATATCGCAGCCCTTGCGTAGCAAGTACTCCATCATCGGAATCCTCCCCGCGTCTTCCTGGCTCGCCGCCGCCATGTGCAGCGCTTGGCTATTCTCCAGTTTCGCGCCGTGTTGGAGCAGGAGGTCGAAGGTCGCGGGCGTGGCGGCGGAGGCGGCGCAGTCGAGGGTGGAGCCGGAATCCGGGACGGGTGCAGAATCCGGTTGCGGTGAAGGAGGGGGCCCGAGATTTGGGTCTGCGCCGTGGTCCAGGAACCACTTCAGCAGCGCTTCGTTCTTCACGAATGCCGACAGGGCAGGTTGTCCGCCCGTGACGGGGCTGTTCACATCCCACCCCTTCTCCAGCAGCAGTTCGAAAATCGGTATGCATTCGCCTCTGACGGCCGCCATTGCTATGGATGGGGTGATCGTTGCGCCGTGGGAGAGCAGGAAGCGGGCGATTGGCAGTTGTTTGTGGATGATTGAGGCGAGGAGGCCGTGGTTGAGGTAGTATTGCGTATTGGGGTAGTGGTCGTCGCCGGTTGCAAGGATGGCTGCGGTGTCCATGTTGCCGTTTGCGCAGGCTTCGGCGAAGGCGTGGAGGGAGGCGGCGGTTGTGGGTTCGATGGATGGGTTGGAGGAGGTGCCATGCTGTATCGTGGCGCGGCCTGGTTGCATTGTTGAAGAGGGATGTTGCTGACGCTGTGGGGCAAGTGGAGGAAGTTCAGATGATGGTGTAGTGCACTCGAAAGGAGGAGCTGGAGGCTAGCGCATGCTGCGCAGGGGTCAACGTAATCACATTGCGGCGTGCTCTGGTAGGATTGCACGTTGCAGGGTGCAACAATGATAGCTCAGACAGGGGACGCGAACATATACTGAAACGTAAGATTCAAGAAAAGGTTGACTACATATACCGATTGCGGAGAAAGAATACTATGGGCGCGGCTAAATAGCCGAGGCTTCCCCAGACTCCCATCTTGAGAACGTCACCTCTCCTCGACCATTGGTCTTTTATACCGCTCAATATGCCTACCCCATTGAAGATCCTGGTGCCTGTCAAACGGGTCATCGACTACGCTGTAAGCCCTTTCCCGCCTCCCCAACCGTTCCAATCTCCCTCTACAGACACTCGTCCACTGACCCCCCTCCTCCTCACAGGTCAAACCCCGCGTCAACAAAGCCCGCACGGCCGTCGAGACCGCCGGCGTCAAACACTCCATGAACCCTTTCGACGAACTCTCCATCGAAGCCGCCGTCCGGATGCGCGAACGCAAGAACCCTCCCGTCGACGACATACTCGCCCTCAGCGCCGGCCCCGCCAAATGCGTCGACGTGCTCCGCACAGCCATGGCAATGGGGGCGGACAGGTCAATCCACGTCGAGATCCCAGACGCCGGCCAAGGACAGGCGGAACTCGAGCCGTTGGGGGTTGCGAAGCTGTTGGCAAAAGTCGTGGCGGAGGAGGGGCCGAACCTGGTGATATTGGGCAAGCAATCCATCGACGATGATTCGAACCAGACGGGGCAGATGCTGGCGGGGCTGTTGGGGTGGGGCCAGGCGACGCAGGCGTCGAAGATAGAGTTTGACGACGGCGATCGGGTCAGTGTGACGCGGGAGGTGGATGGCGGCGTGGAGACGGTGCGGTTTCCGTTGCCCGGGATCATAACGACGGATTTGCGATTGAATGAGCCGAGGTATGCGAGTTTACCGAATATCATGAAGGCGAAGAAGAAGAAGTTGGAGAAGAAGACTTTGAGTGATTATGGGGTGGATGAGGGGAGGAGGTTGAAGACTGTTAAAGTGGAGGGTAAGTGCTGCTTCTCTGCCGTTGTACTCTGTCGTTTTTGGCTGGGTGGATAGCTTTGAGTGTCTGTCTTTCGATCGAGTCTTCAGCGTGCGGAACAGGTGCTAACGAACCTGTGTACAGAGCCACCACCGAGGAAAGGAGGAGGAAAAGTAGAGGATGTGGACGGTATGATAGCGAAGCTGAAGGAACTTGGGGCTATATAGATACAGCCGGATATGGATTGCCTTGGATTCTATGTATATACATTGATAGCCTTTACGGGCAAGCACCCAACCATTCGTCCAATATCTTGGCTTCGTAACCTTCGGTTGGAGAGCCAGATGCTAGCAAATGTAACAAGTGTGACTTGGATCGGAGGCTTCTGAACAAAGACATAAAACCTAGAGGGGGTAAAAAGTAACGCCAAGTCATCTTTTCCATACTCGTATATACCGACAGAGCAGTGAAATCTAACAGATCAAGTTGGCAAGCCCAAGGAGTGTCGAATACTTGGTACTCGCTGTTCGCCAAACCACCTCGTACAGGACCGGATCGGATGAACTACGACGGATACTTGGCAGATTTAGAAGGCAAGCAGCTAAGCATTTGTTTAATCACGTTGGTGTTGCATAGGGCGGATTGTCTCAGCGAGATTTCATCTTCTATTCCGTGCCATGTCATCATGGGCTCTTCTACCTGCCTCATTCAAGCTTGCTATATATCTCTAATGAATCATTGACCCTTGTCAACGGTAAGCAGCTGTCGAATGACCCCATCCTAACGCTCCATCCACCTACGAGGCAACAGCTTCGCAGCCTTGATACTCTCCAAATCCCCATCAACCACCTGCTTGCGAGCCTTAGACTTGGCCAAGACCATCTTCTCCATTTGGACCAAATTGATATAGCCCTCCATCGCAGTCATGATGCGTTCGTGATTGCTGGGGGGGTGGCCGTATGAAGGAATCGAGGCGCTGGGAGCTGGAACATTAGATGCGCGCCCTGCGAGGGTGTTAGCCTCTTGTAGACGAACGTTGACAGGGATTACTTGCCCTTGGTCTCGCTGGAAGATGCGACGTTCCCTGCCTCACGCGCCTCTTCTTCCATAGAGCGGGCAATGTCCATGAACTTTTGGAACGTAGTGGTCTGGTCGTCGATGGAAATCCCGTAATTGATTTCCAGCATCTCGACAATGCCGGCGAGCTCAGTGATCACTTTGTCCTTAACCTTCATCTGCTTCTGCATCTCCTGAGTAGAGCCGCCTGAGCGGCCACCATACTGGCCAGAAGGCATAGAAGTGTTGGGATTATTGGAACCGTTAACGCCGAAATGGTGAGGGTCAGGTCCATTGCCACCCATGCCGTAGTTGCCATCCATACCGCCGTAGTTGCCACCCGTGCCGCCATAGTTGACACCCATGCCGCCGTAATTACCACCAGGGCCGTAGCTACTGGCCGTGTCATAGCGAATCGAGCCACTGGGATACTGAGCAGCGTGGCTAGGAGCCACGAAGTTTCCACCCATCTGGGGAGGAGAGCGGATAAAGTGCTCCTGGACGGGCTGGTTGGAAGCCCCGATGCCGATGGACATGTTACGGTAAGAATCAGCAGGAGCGGGAGACGTGGAATCGTCGGGGTGAGCGCGATTGTAGTTAACAATAGGCTGAGCAGAGCCGAACAACTCCTCCTTGACCATATTCGCGGTTTCTGATTGCTTGGGTATGACAGTTGTGGGGTTTGAAGGATGTCCGGCCTTGGCATAGATGTGTTCGATTTGTTTCTGAATTTGAGGACCGACGACAGCAGCTGATTGCGATCGATGGTGACCTTTCCAATCTTTGTAAACCGGCCGAGGATTTGTCGCGTTCTTGCCGGCTACTGCTGGACCTGATTTGGCTTTAGCGTGGTTTCAAACTTGTCAAAGTGAGGTTCGGAAAGAAGCCCCGAACTTAAGTGAAGGATATGGGAGGGAAACTCACGACCTCGCTGAATCTGCACTGGTGGCTCTGCAAGTCTTCCCGTATCAAAGTGGGAGTAGAGGCAAACGTGATCAGGCAGTCTGCAGCCCTTATTTGCCCAGTACCAGCAGGTAAGGTGTTTTACCGACTTCGGTTGCGAAGCGCTGATTTGTCCTCTTGGACTTGGCGAATTGGCAAGGTTGGATTCCTGTTGGTTGGTAGGCGTGTGTGCGAGGTCGCCACCTGCAGTTGGCAACACTATAAGGCCCCAAATTCGCTAATTAGTGTGTCTGTGGGAAGTAGCTTGCCGGATTTGGCGGAGACTTACCGGGCTGATGCTGCGGGTTGCCGGGTAAGGAGGGGATGTGGCCAACTGAAGATGCGATTGTCATCTCCTGTGAACTATGGGTACGGCTAGGTGTTTGGGGAAGCTGCCCGGAACAAAGTGCTGGATGAGCTTCAGGTCCCAATCCACCTGTAGCCGTATTGAGGAAGTGCCTTGTCACATAACCAGGTCTTTTGGCGTATTGAGTCTGAGGGTCGTAGCCACCTGCGGCCGTATTGCGGGCATATCCCTTTGCATAGCCAGATCTGTGGGTCTTATAACGACCGTCTAGCTGTGAGGCTCCAGATTCGACCGGAAGATTGCCCAGACCTTTATTGCAATAAGGATCGTCTGCCGGAAGTCGACTTGCTGATACAGGATTCCAAGCCATTTTGAGTTATGATAGTATACTATAATTGCTATTAGTATTTATCTATATATATTGGTTCGATCCCGGCTTGCTCGTAGCTGTGACAGTATAAGACAGTGAAGGTGAGGTGAGCTTTAAACTTCATGCCTAATAACAACTCTGCACGCTGCGATCTGGAACAGTGAAATAACTTACTGTGCAGTGTTCCAAGCTTAAAGGGCCTTGTTTCAACGCGATGCGGATGGAAACCTTTAGCATAAACGGAGTGGATATTTAAGAGCGGTGTTTGAATAACGGAGTGTTAAGATATAGATATTGATATCGACTTCACCCCGGCGTCAAAGCATAGATATCAACTTCACTCCGGCGTCAAAGCATGGATATCGACTTCACCCCGGCGTCAAAGCATAGATATCAACTTCACTCCGGCGTCAAAGCATAGATATCAACTTCACTCCGGCGTCAAAGCATAGATATCAACTTCACTCCGGCGTCAAAGCATTAACGCGTTAGCGCCGTCTCTCTAGCCGAGTACATCACTATCACAGGCTGTGCTCAGTCCACTGGCACTTGTATTCAGTCAAGGGTGTTATCCCCAGGCAACCCAATATCTTGAGGGATATATGCTTGAGATTAATCGATACCCAGGGTCTCCGGAAGACAGCCATACGGTTGCCAGAATCACCACTTTCCTTGCTTGCTTTAGATGCATCGTCAATCATAGGGGGTTCTACCTGGAGACCATGACAGTTCACACCCAAGTAGCCCAAGACTCTGCAGGGTCGTTTGGCTATGCAATGTTCAAGCGGTTGCGAAGGAGATCTGCAAAGTCTATGAAACGCACACTCACTCAACCAGCAACCTTTGCCGCATGACCTGGCACAAGCCCAAGGCTTTTCGCCTCAGCGCTGACAACCTCCAGGATGTCACCATCAAGGTCCTTTGCCGCTTTCTTTGGCAACCATCCTAGCAATTTGCGAGCCCGAATGGCATGAAACCTTGAATTTGCTCCCCACAGTGCCGAGCCCCACCAAGCCAAATCATCCGCCTCTTTCTCGGAGATCGAAACAACTTCATCGGAGGGAAGGAAGCCTTGCTTGTGTGCAGCTTTCGCCACGGCCTTGGAGATGTGCCCCCAGATGTGCTCCCCATTCTCCGCGAAATAGTACCCTTCCTTCCCCCATGTAGCATTTCCGCCTCCTTCAACCGCAGCTTCAACAAGCTTGACATAACAATCGCTCAGGTCATGAACATGGACGTTCGGTCCTAGATTCTCCCCAACTCCAACTTGAAGACCCTTCTTTTTCTCGAGCATGGACCTCGCCAGCTCCGGAATTTGGTGGCTTCTTTGATTTCCGGGTCCTCTTCCAGGCCCATATATTGTAGGCGGACAGATGATCGCGGTCTTGACCTTGGAACCCTCTGCACTGATGACGTTCTTGTCATTCTTCCGATGGGGGGCATGGTCAGGCAGAGAGGTAACTTCCCCAATGCCTTCCCAATCATTGTAGATCTTGCTAGACGTTTCTCCGTAGATCTTACGGTCGATATCGGCGACGAAGAGGATCGCATTGCCGGACGTGTGGATGTAGAAGCCCGGGGTTTCTGCTGCACGGGCTGCAAGTCCTTTGGTGAGAGCGTTTACGGCGTTCTCGTTATCTGCATTGGCGCAATCTAGGCAATGAGAAACTATCAAAAAATGATCCAGCTCCGAGGGTAATACTAGTATACTGACGCACTGAGTACAATGTCCGCTTTCTTTGCCTCCTGCCCTAGTATATCTCCGTCATCCAAGGTTCCATAGACAAGCCTGGCCTTTACGTATTGGCTCGCCACCTGGGCACCTTTGTCGGAATTGCGGACCAGGCATGCTATTTCGTACTCGGGATGGGTCTGAACGAGAGCGTAAAGAGCATCCCCACCAATGTATCCTGTCGCACCAAGTCTGTCTGAGCATCAGTGGCAGGACAACGTAGGCTATACCAAAGATTAGAGCTTACAAGAAGATCTTGGGTGCCATTGCTATTGTTCTTCACATGCTATCGGGCCAGAACAGTCACAGCCCTCCTTTGGCGTTGTCACACGAGGTTTTCACCGAAGCTCTTAAAATACCTCAAATCCGGAAGAGAGAAAGCCAAGGTATAAAGCGAGGATTCTTTCCCAGATTGCTGTGACGTAGTTATGCACCTTGCGCTCATGTCCCAAGAGCGAAGGGAGGACGTTACCGGTATGCGGGCAGCGGGCAGTGAGGCCTCTTTACGCGCTAGCGGCTAAGCCCGAGAGACGACGATCTGAGCAATGAATGCCAGTTCACAATGACTTATTGACCAGGCTAACACCCACCACTGAACACATCCTGCAAATGCAGACCACTTGGAACATTGAGGAAACAACATCTTGAAGCATCTCTAATTACAGTTGTTTTCATCCACGAAGCTGTACCTTTCAAAGGAGCTTCATCTCCAGCTTTTAACTTACTCGTTTGCAACATACCAATAGAGTCACTGTCAAAAAATAGCCCGCTCATGCTGACTGCCACAAAACAGTGTTACGCTGAACAGCCCGTGTGGGTCTAGGCCGGATGGCTCCTGGAGGTGGAGGGAAGAGGAAGAGGGGGGACAGGACTTACTCGAACGAGGGTAGAGAAGAAGGTTCGAGACCTTCACCTCATCGACCCGGCAACTTGACGCTAGGACAACAAAGCAACCAGCAGCAAGGCCAGCAGTCGCAAAATTATGGCAGAGATCAATATGACCAACGTGGTGGAGGCAGGAGAAGAGGAAGCAGAGGAGGGCGTGGAGGCGGACCTCAGCGCAGTCCCATGAACAGTCCGAACGCCATACCGCTACAGTCACGTGCGAACGGCACATCCCCAAGGCCTATGTCACCTTCTCTTCCACCGCCACAGCCCCCAGCGGAGCCAAAAGAGGAACCAGCACCGCAGCCTTTAGTGACGCAGGTCCCAGAACAGCAGCAAAGCAAACCTGCAATTTACTATTACGAATATGCTACCGAAGAAAGAATAAGAGCATGGGCAGATCACGGGAAGAAAGAGGTTCTGGATAGGGGTATTACAGCTCGTACCGCACAGGATGCCATGACTCTTGGCATCCTCTACCAGGAATTGGTCAGATCTGCTCTCGACGGACGGATAGATGCAGCGGAAGCTGGCTCCACGATCAAAGATATCATTAAGAAGGACGATAACACTGACACCTCTGATACCATGGCCGACGAATATCCTTTCGACGCAAGCTCGCTCTTCCTTGATTGTCTTTCGATCTTGACAGAGGCATCGCCTTCTATCGCGACACCATCATTAAAAGCACTTGTACTTGCTACTGGAATACCGGCCCAACAGATGCGTCGTGAATTGGATAGCACGCTTTTGGAGAACTTTGGTATGATACGCAACACTTTTGTCAGAGTCGGCATTCGGAATACAACCAACCTTCTCTACCGCCAGTCGAATTACAATCTACTTCGAGAGGAGACGGAGGGTTACTCAAAGCTAATGACTGAGCTTTTCACAACCAGTAGCAACGAGCTACCAACTAGCGAGGTCGTCGAGGAAACTTTCGAGCGAGTCAAGGGAATGATTGGAGCTTTTGATCTTGATGTGGGAAGAGTTCTCGACATCACACTCGATGTTTTTGCAGCGGTCCTGGTCAAGCAATACCGATTCTTTGTCAAGTATCTCCGAGCAAGCTCATGGTGGCCGCAAGAAAATATCTTCAAGTCACATCCTACCGGGCATTTCCTGAGTCCTCTGCCGAAGTGGGCGTTACCAGGTGCATCTGGGTGGGGATTGAGTGACGAAGAGAAAGAAGATGTGACTACGGCAAAGATCGAGCGAGACAAAGCTTTCTGGCAGAGAAGTAAGGAGGTTGGGATGGGTGCCTACTTCGAAATTGGTGGTCGAAGAGCAGAAGGATCAGCCCTTGCAGCCGCGGCCACCAACAGCAGCTCCGAGGACTCGTCTCAAGACGATGAAGATCGCAAGTGGATCGAAATCACGAATACTTTACCTCCTCCAGGTAATCAGGTCGCCGCTCAGGTGCTCGGATTCAAACTGCGTTTCTACAGCTCTACTGCACGTGATCCCAACGACGTACTCCCAGTCAACCTCATCTACCTGGCCGCCTTGCTGATCAAGGTCGGCTTTATCTCACTACGAGATCTATATCCTCACATCTGGCCAGCAGACCCAGCAATGGAAGATGTTAAGGAAGAGAAGATGAAGGAAAAGGCCGAGAAGGAGAAAATGAATCGCCCTGGGGGCGGCGCTACCAACGCGCTGATGGCCGCTGCACCACTCCCAGACGACTCCGTGGACGGCAAGATGAAAGAGGCTGCAAGACTACGTGAAGTTGAAGTAGCTCGAAGAAACACCGCAAAAATTGACCTTACAGATGAGAGGTCAACACCAGCTGCGCAGCCAGAAGAAAAAGTCGAAGAACTTCCAGAGCCTTCTGAGCAAAAAGTCCAATTGTTGAAGAGCTTACTCTGTATTGGTGCTCTGCCCGAAGCTCTCTACATGCTTGGCCGCTTTCCATGGCTTCCAGACGCTTTTCCAGAACTTCCCGAACACATCCACCGCATACTCCATCACTCTCTCAGCAAAGTCTACGAGCCTTTACGGCCCCTCAAAGACCAAGCGGGCCTGCGAGAGCAGCAGAAAACACCAGACCCTGATCAAGCCGGAGTAGCAAAAGGTGAAGTTAAGCTCATTGACGCTCCTGCGCGCAAAACCATGCGCTGGGCGCAATTGGACAAAGAGGATACGAACGATGCGATTGATTACAAGTTCTATTGGGACGACTGGGCCGACAACGTCCCCGTATGTCAGACAGTCGATGATGTCTTCGTTCTTTGTTCCACCCTACTCAATTATACTGGAGTAAAGATCGGTCAAGATAGCTCGCTTCTAATTAAGCTAGCTCGGATTGGTAGTCATTCATTGGCCACTGACACCTCAGAATCGAACACGGCACGTTGGGTTGATTTGTCGAAACGACTGT